TATACTATATATATATATATATATATATATATATATATATATATATATCTGATTTTGAAAGAATAGTGGAGGTTATATTTTTAAAAGAACCTATTAGTCATACAACTAACATTAACCTACTAATTGATATCTCAATTAAAGAAAAAACTTGTCTAGAATTATCGTTGAATTAATTTTATTTTTCCATTTCCATCATGACCCCATTGTTTGTCACATATATAGAGCATGCTTCTTCTTCAAACAAAAACAAAAAAAAGAACAATTTCATTTTTTTGAGCGCACCTAATCCATGTGGAAAATATTAATGCAAATTACTCCTTTTTTTCTCCTCCAATATATTATAGATTTGAAAATTATACACTGGTAAGAACAAAATCACATGGGGTTCTACTTTCCCCCCTCCTTTTATAACAACTCATTGCTTAAAAAGGGACTTAATTCCAAACCTAATAATCTTATCTAAATAAGTATTTAGAAATCCTAGTTAATAGAGGTGTCACTTAACACGGAATTGACTAGTTTTGTGGGGGTGTGGGGCGAATTGTTTTTCTAACGCAAAAATAATGTAATTTGTAATATCTCTAAATACTGTTTTGCCTTATTCTTCGACCTCATTTGTTTGGATTTTATAGAATATGTTATTGTTATACTGTTTTGTTAATAGTATTATATTTTTATAAAATGTGAGATCTATCACATTATGTTCTTGGATGGAACATGGTTATTATATATGTAAGCTTGGAAATAAAGATTAATACACATTTATCAAATTAAATTACGAAATAGATCAAGTATGGATGTATGGTCCAATCTTTCATGACGGGTTATATTATATATATACACGACTCATATGTTAAAAATATTAATTCTCTGTAACGCATTTTTAATAGATTAAATTTAACGACTTATCAATTTTCTAGCTTTAATAGAACTCATAACGTACATTGAACATTTTCTATCCCGTTTGAACATTAATGTAGTACTCCATTCATTTCTGGCAAAATGAAGAGAAAACAAAAAGTTGAAAGAAGAAGAGATATATATAGTCACGTAAAGATTATTAGATTATTAATTAATACAATTTAATAAGATGATAACTAGAATACCCAAAAAAGAAAAGGGGGAAAGAGATTATATTACTACATCTATATAGATGGAAGTCCAAATAATTAAAGCCATCGATGAGCTTTCAATTTTCACCTAACACTCTTCCAATTGGCTTTAATTAATTATATTAGTAAGAAAATGTTTTTTTCCTCTTACCCTTTAATTTTGCATTCTGATTGGACCATGGGAAACGTTTTAAAGGACGTTAATACTATAATTACTTATGTATAAATATATATAGTTGATTAGACTGCTACCTAGCTAATTGGTTGTATGAGGAAATTGATCCATCTACCATCCTATAATAACTTTTTTCTTGAAAATTGACATGCATGTATGCTTCTGTTTCACCAACCTAAAAATATTATAATTATCGAATGACCTCGAAATTAAGCAGGGTTAATGTATTCTATCACTATAACAAAAAAAAACGACAATATTTTTAGTGGAAAAATTGCATGTATTAGTACAATTTAATAAAAAATTAGCAACACATGTTATTTATTACTGTAGCAATATTATGTTAAATCTGCAATGTGTATTAAAAGTGAATTATGTATGTAACATATATGAAATATAATTGTTTTTTGAAATATATTATGTTTGTTTGGTAAAAATTTGTATTATGAGTGTATCGAAATGTGTGATAAATGATTATCCATCATTAAAACTTGTATTATATGTGAATAACAAATTGTTCTTTATAATATGTATTAAACTTGTATTATAAATGAATTAAAAAGTGATCAAGTGAAAAAAATGTTATTGCTATAAATGGTAAATTTATAGTATATTTATGTAAGTTTTTCTATTTTAATTGCCGATGAATATATTTATTTAGAGACAATTAGCACTCTTAGTAAACATTTTTAAAAGTGTATAGCAGCATTTGATTCAATGACAATTAACTAATATGGATAGAAATTTAAAAACTTTTTATCAATATACATTTTTATTGTCACTAAAAATTATCTTTGATGTAGTGTACGTATTTAACTAGCATCGATATAATTCCAATGTATTTATGATTCCCAAAAAACTGTCATCCGGCCCAAACAAATTAAATGTTGAGTGCAACATTTTTCTTATATTATATATACATACGTATTCATCTTAAAGATTCATGTTACCAATGACTAACCACAAGTTATTTAATTCACGCATGAATATATTTTGTAAAAATTTAAGGAATCTCATAGTGTGATTCAATAATTACACTCTGTTTTGATAAATTTAGTATTTACTAAAAATTTTTTAAAATTTTTGTGCCGTGATACTTTATACTCTTGTGATACATGGTAAATGATACATGGTAAATTTAAACTGTTAAGAAAAAAAGGGGAAAAACGGTACATTTAAACTTGTTAACTAAAATAGTTTAATTTACGGTAACAGATTATTAATCATCATTAAATTAGCACGTAATTGAATATTAATTTCAAATTTTGAAAATCAAAGATTATATCATCTATTTTGAATATAATTTTCAAAACCGCATGACACATAGAAAACATTATGATACACAACAAATTCATGTATCAATGCATCGTCTAAAACACTATATACACTGATTCAAAATGTATCAATGCATCATCTAAAACACTATACACACTTGATAGATTCAAAATGTATCAGCAAGCACACTGATTCAAAATGTATCAGCAAACACTTCATGTATCAACGCATCGTCTAAAACACTATACACACTGATTCAAAATGTATCAGCAAGCACACTTGATGGCGCAGTTATTGAAATTAATCATTGATAATGATAAAAATTTACGGTAAAAATTGGGAATAATTTCAGATTGAGTTAATAGGATTCTTTTTTTAACATTAAAGACAAAAAGGAACAGATTAATTTTTCAAAGAGTTCAAAACTATAAACAAATATATATAATTTAAAACTCTTTCATAGAGAAAAATTAAGAAGAAAAATTGGGATCGTCTGTGATAATTGGATCGGCATCGACTCGATTTTCAGCAAAATCATCAACTTGGATTTGATCAAGCACAAGTACTAATCCCATGGCAAAGGCACAATCAAACCCAGGCTTTATTGAGAGAGAGAAAACGTCTTTTCCAAGCACCACATGAGCACAATCATCCACTTTTCAGAAATTTCAAATTTTTTGAATTTTGAAATTCAAAATTTCATATTAAATGTTGTGAAACATTTTTAATTAAAATTAATAATTCAAAATTCAAAAAGTGATTCAGAAGATTGAATGTTTTAGTGGAGAAAAAATAGGCATGATATGAGGAAGTGTATGTTATAGGAGAGAGAATACTATGTATCTCTAAATTTCTAGTAAAATTAAAAAAAAAAATTATGTAATATTTAAAAAAAGAAAGAAAAATTAGATAATACTAAACTTATAGTTGTGTATTTAAGTTATTTTTCCATATATTTTTGACTCAAGCTATGAACTACATGAAATTTGAAATTTCAGTAAAATTTTAAACTTCAACACCGTACTATTTGATGCAATTATTCTGTGTTTTAGCTAGGAAGATTTAAAGTGACTACAATTTGCAAATCAATTAACTAACACATTAAAAATGACAGCTTCCAAATAATTTTACTGGTCAACTACTCTTTTTGTGGGCTGGCTCATGTATTATAAATAATAATAATAATAATAATAATAATAATATATTCCTCTTAGAGGCTATTAATTACTAGTATTAGTCTTTACCGATCCATTTGGCTTTAGTACTGCTTTTTACTACCTATCGTAACCTACAATTATTCTTTATCATTGTTTATTGCCAGAAGTTTAAGTGAATTAAAGGAGAATTAAGGTAAACCATAAAATTGATAAATTAATAATCCTTTAAATATATTTATGTTGTAAATAGGAAGACTTAGATCAGCAGTCTATAAACTTGGGGATTTTTTTTTCAGAGGTAAATCTCATAGTTGGATAGGACCAAAATCAAAATGAATATTGGATATGATTATATACTGTCATAGAATGGAAATATTATGCCTTAAATCTGCCCTCCGATGATAATAGTAACTAAATTATATGTGATTTTAGTATTGATGCATCACTTGAGAGCCATGAAATGAGCTTAATTAGGTAGTATAGTAGTAAACTTAACTACTATTTACAAAACAAAAAACAAAATAAAATATGGATATAAGTTCATGTTATATTGGCATGAAATGAATTAAGCACCATTTAATTAATTTTTATATAAATATAAAACACCTCCTAAATTTTAGCATATATATAATTTTAGTGATAAGAACCTCCCACCTAATGTTAGTTTGCTTCTACAACAAGGGATTGGATCACATTAATTAGTTAATTTACTCAACAAACACATTCAACGTCATGGTCATGTGTTTGCAATATTTAGATTTCGAAGAACAATTTTTTTTCCACAATTAATATGTGTTTATAATGTGCGTATATATATAACTTGTAATAATTGATTTTATTTAATAAATAATAATGTTTTTCAGAATAAAAATGTTAATTCTATTGAGTAAGCTAGAAATGATTATGAAAATAGAAGGATCATATATACTATATAGTGCATAGATAAAATAAACTGAGAATGAGTAAAACATGTATATATATATACGATAAGAGTCGTTTTCATATTTACTTGAAATGGGGGACAAGATCTTCTTTAGCATATTTTCCTCTTCAATCTCCATCCCTGTCTACAAAATATATAATAAATACAAACATTATATCAACACTAATATATATATTCACTAAGCAGTATATATCTTAAGCTATACTAATATCTATTTTGATCCTTCTCAATCGTTTTTCTTTTTTAAAAACTATCTTAAATCATGCAAAATAGGCACACTATTGACTATATACTATAGCTATATGTGGAGAAGCGCGGTAATAACCTTTTCTTTTCTTTTGGTAATTTTCTATCTAAATTAATATGAAGTTTATGTATTTTTTAATAATAAAATCTAGTGTTTTTTTTTCCTTCCAATTTAACTAGTATAATTGTTTTATGTTCAAATCTTTTTTATTTTTTAGGGGATGGAGTGGAGTCGTGGACAGCCCAATACTGTTTCTCCCAATAAATATAGATAAATGGGCTATCCTGGCCCAACTCCCCTTCCATTTCCAAATTAGATAATTAATTTTGATCCATTTTAATCAATACCAGATTCATTTTTGACATATAAACTTATATCAATCAAAATAAAATATAATGCACAATTATCTTCTTTATTTTTTCTGTCCCTAACTATGAATTGATAATCAAATTGTAATTTCCTATAAGGGTATTGAATTTTTGCAAATTACAAAATTTACTTTTGTACTTTTTTGTGTATATAAATTTTTCGTGACTTTTAACACTTATTATTTTATCCTTTTTTTCGTTTACTAATGTCATTTTTTAAAAAGAAAAAAAGTACTATCTTTTTATTAGTATTATCGAAAAACAAGTTAGTAGAGTTAAAATGATTCTCTAAATAATTGGAAACAAGAATATAGAATGTTTGAAAATGAATGAAAAATAGAAGACCATATGAATGTGACAATAACTTCACACCAAATGAATGTGTTTTACTATGGAAGCAAAGTGAAGGAGCCCTTTTACAACTCTTAATACAACCAAACAAACTCTTTCACAATTCCCTTCCTAAATCTCCAAATTTCAACTTTCACTCCACTCGTCTCAGCTCAACTCCATCCGTCGGTCGGTGAGCCGGACTTATCTGGATCTGGCCGGAATATTTGTCTTCCCGCCAATTCTCTCACAGGTCACTTCTTCTCTTTTTGCTTATGTTTAATGTTAAAATAAGTTTGATATGTAGATCTATTTCATGTATGGATGCTTGATCCCTCTCAAATTCAATACTATCTGTTGTTATCATGCAAAAAGATTTCATTTTTTTATCCCTTGGATAGTGAGATCTGCGCTTTCTAAATTTCGCATTTTCATCATCTTTGGGACAAGTGAAGTCAGGACTTATTCAGCTGCAGCTGCACTAAGAGTTCACAAAGAACAAGTAGGTATCTTTGTGTATCCATTATAGATGTGTGCATGCTATCAAGTACCTCACACCCGTGTTATACCCATTTGACATCTAGGGGATGAATGAATGATACATGCAATGTACATATTTGTTATGCGGTTTGGCTTGATGGTAGTTTCATATCAAGGTTGAGAAAATGTAGGATCTGGATGACTTGTGCATGTACTTCACTTGATGTGTTAAAGCTGTTTGACCAGTGTAGCATTAAATGGCATATGAGATAGTCTTGAAAAGATGCAAATCAGCTGATATAATTCTGATGCTTAAATAATATTTGACAATCACACTGCCAGAACTTTTTCTTACTCTATTGCCTTACTTAAATTTTTTGTTTGTTTACCCTTCTATATTTCTGTTCTGATATATGGTTGCAATCAACATGTTTCTTGTATTTAGGTGAGCTGAAATACTAAGCAGTTGACTCATGAAGAACGGTATGGCAGAATGCGCTGTCTGTCATTCCAAGCTTGTTTCTCCATCTGTGAAAACTATTTCAAGGGCATATGATCGACACAGAAGCAAGATTTCATCAAAGCAACGTGCTCTCAATGTCCTATTGGTTGTAGGAGATTGTATGCTGGTTGGTTTACAGGTAGCGGTCCTTTTCAAATGTTCTAATTGTTTATTCGTATTCTTCTCAGTTATCAGAAAAAAAGTTCTTAATTTTTGCATGCAAATGATAATATTCTACCAGTAAAGTGTACACTCACTAAGCTTCTTGATTTTGTGTGGATCGGTCTCTTTCCATAACAATCACCATTGATTTTTTTTTAATTTAAAAGTAGCTTCTGCTTTTCTATCGAATATAGTTAATTATAGCTGTCACCTCATATCTTTTACCACTTGTTTCCATCAGCAAAACATTTAAATTTGCTGCTTAAAAATGAGAAAGACTTGTCTCACCCGGTATTTTATCCCCCTTTTCAGCCTGTTTTGGTATTTATGTCGAAAGTGGATGGAAAATTCAAGTTTAGTCCCGTAAGTGTCAACTTCTTGACAGAGGCGACAAAAGTCGTCTTTGCAATAATAATGCTTTTAATCCAGGTACACTATTTTTATGTTTTTTGTTTACTTGATTTTTTTTTCGATAGTTCAATTTCATGTTTCTTGTTGGAATGTTTCTGCAGGCCAGGCATCAAAAGGTTGGAGAAAAGCCACTTCTTTCAATATCCACATTTGTCCAGGTAAAATGTCATTGGTGTGAGTGTTGTAACTGCTCTTAGTTCTCCTGGGTGGGTTGAAACCTAGTTTATTGCTCATCATGTCCTTGTAATAGCAAGATTCTTGCATATGTTCTTTATGATAATTTAAAGTTTGTAAGTGATGTAATATCTGAGGAGCCAGTCTCTAAATTGAGTCCTCTTCTTACATGATTAACCTATATTCATGTATGACACTAAGGATTTGAAAGATGCCTACCCTGGATGACTGTCTTGGACAAGAGTATTGTTGCTGTTGGACGCAGAAAGCTTTAAACAGCTTTCCGAAGTATCAATTTAATTTCTGTGTAAGATCCTGCACAGAAGAAAGATATCATGAGTTAAATCCCACTGGAAACAAAATCATTAGGTGGTTTCTTCCCATTGTCTGCCAAAGTTGTTACTGATGGGTGGTGGGAGGTGGCAGGTATCCCGTGGAACTAGTCGAGGTGTGCACAAGCTGGCCCAGACACCACAATTTATTTTCCCTAAAAAATAGATATAATGAGTTGTATAAAAGGGAAAAGTTTTACCACACCTCTTATGGTGTTCGCCAAATCTCCCAGGTGGGGAACTACACATACAAGAAGGAAATTTGAGCTTGATGCAAATGGATGGGTGTCAAGAAAGATAGGATGTTATGGTTTAAGGGAACAGCCATCGTGAAGATCTGCTAATGATATTATGCAGTAAAGAAAAGGTGCAAGCTGGACATTGCACTTGCTTGGGGCATGCTTCGTATAGTTGATATTGGATAAAAGAACTAAATGCTTCTCTTCACTGGTATAGTCTGCTGAAAAGAAAGTCCAAGAACTACTGCAATTCCTCTTGTGTATATCAGGACACCTTCATTTATTCATTCCACAGACGAGTCAATATGTTGCTGTGAGTTCTACCTTTCTTCATATCAAGATCCAGGCTCTAAAGTATGAGTATTATCTCCATAAGAGTGAAACAGGAATTAACATAAGTGGAGAATAATAGCAATCCTGCTCTCTTCTTTTCGGTTTCTGTTTGTAAAGTTCTTCATCAGCATTTTTAGATGCTGATGTTTTCGGAATGAATGCAAGTTACCTTATGAAAAAGAAAACATAAGTCGAGAATATGATTATATTGAGTTGATCCAAAATGTGGAGAATAAGGATGAAGACTCTGAGTTGATCCGGAGATACAGAAACTTTTATAGTATTGTCAAAGAATAGTTTTATTGGGACAAATGCAAAAACAGGCTGAACATTGAGATAATGTGAAACGACCTTGGAAATTAAAACCTTCTCATATATCTACATACTGTTCGAGCTGCAAGTTTTGCCGTGTCACGACCCAATTTCTCGAGTCATGATGGCACCTACTATAACCCACCAGTAGGTAACCCGACCCGTAACCCGGAACAACGCACAATGGGTCTGAGGGTAGAAACTAAACAAGAGTAGGCAAAATTTACTACTCCCTCCGTTTAAAAACGAATGTCCCTATTTCCTTTTTAGTTTGTTTCAAAAAGAATGTCCCTTTCCTTTTTGGCAACACTTTATCTTTAACTTTCCACGTGGCATGTTTAAGACCACAAGATTATATGGCATTTTGGTACATTTGATATAACTTTAATTTAGAACCACAAGATTAGAAAGTCTTTTTTTTATTCTTAAACTCCGTTCCAAGTCAAACTAGGCTATCATTTTTGAAACGGAGGGAGTATAACAATATAAACAGGCGGAAGCAAACCAAAACATATATACAAATAAGGATCCCTCCCAGAACCTGGAAGTCACTAGTACAGATCTACCAACAAAACGAGTACAAGTCCCAAAAGTGAACCACTGAAACTAGACTGTCTCGAAAGGTAAAAGACAAGTCTATATATATACAGATGGAGACTGAAATAGTACAGAATGTCGTGTGCTCACCCTCGTCTCCAGATCAGACTGCTCCAAACTCGATCAACATTGGCTACTCGTGCTCGAACCTACATCACGAAAATAGATGCAAAGCATAGCATGAGTACCAAACACTAGGTACCCAGTATGCATCATAGGCTGACTAAACTTGAAAAGTAAAGCAATATGAAAAGAAGGAATAACACAACTAGAGGTCAAGAACGAAAGTCTAAGTAACAATGGAATGCACACGAGTGTAGAAAGAACTAACTAAAGTAATATATAAGCTAACTACACCTAACTGGACCCCCCATAAGCCCAGAAGGCACACTTGTGCGCAAGTTTAAATAAAAACTCAAACGGACCCTCATTAGCTCGACGAGTACAGAGAATAACTATAACTAAGGAGAATAGAACCCAAGGCCAAAGAACATCGAACTAGATGCTCAAAACCAATAAGTAGAATCTGAGGGTACGGAGGTCCGGACACTCACCAAAATTACACAAGTAGCCAATCACAAATATAAGTAACTGAGTCCGTACCTCTAACCGGATGCTCCGCATAAGTATGCGGATGGTCGAGGCCAGACTTTGAACCGGATGCTCTTCCAAAATTATCAATGAAGTCAAGGTCGAGCCTTAAATCCGGAAGCCCGACAAAGGTGTCAACTTTGAATTGCGGAGCGGAACTCATTGTTACTGATGTAGCTCGTGAAGCCGTAACATCAATGAAGTAAGGATAACTATCGCCGGAGCGAACTCCTAGTCTAGCTAAGGCCCAAACTATCAGCCTCTAGTCTGCTACACCAGTCTACAAGGATTTAAGCCGACCGAGCGAGGTCGGGGCAAAACTAAGTCCTGCCGGTTTGCATTTCTAAGGCAAGCTCTAGTCAAACCTAAACGAAGACCCAACATACTTCCAATTAAACCGTACTCCAACATACAAAGCATACAAGTACTCCACATAGCAAAGAAGGTCAATTAATAACATAAAGCATGCTCACAGTTACTCGATAGTTCTCAGAAATAGGTTGAAAACATGATTTTTAACACTTATGCATGATTCAATAACTACCCAACCCAAATCTCAACTAATCAACATGCATTCACATGTTCGAGTTCAATCTAAGAGAAGGAAATCGTAGCCTACCTGTAGGCAGATCACGCCGCGCTCCAAAAATCACTTCTTCGGAGCTTTCCCTTTCCGAATGGCCTTGAAAAGTTGACACACTATAAAAAATAGTCACAATGTTATTACGGTCGTTTAGACACTAAAATCGCAAGAAACTGAGACGGCCTAATTTCGCGGTTAAAACGGGAAAAGTGGGACCTGCATTGAAAATTCCAGGATTAACCCCAAATATAGGTCCTAAACAGCTCTCGGAACTTGTGTTCCAAAGTGGAACACAATTCGGGGCTTGAAACATTCCCAACACGAACATGCAACCAAAAACCCAATAATACGCTAAAATTCAACAACAATGGCAGCAACTATTTACAAGAATTTACCAGAAACGAAGGTTCAACTGCTAAAACCAATCACACCACGACGATCCTCACGAAATCCCCCACAATATACGCTCTTGAATCACCAGATTCGGACCTAAAATGGCCAAGAAATCTTCTTCTAAAAGTTTCCCAAAAGTTGAACTCGAAAATGAGCTATGACAGCAGTTAAAACACAATTTTTTACCTTTAACAAGACTTCAAATGTGAATTCTGTCCACGCCAACACGTTCTCCTCGAAAATTCACTCAAGTTAACCTCCTGAATCGCCCAAATCGGACCTTTATAGCTCAAGGTATCACACTTTTAAGAAGAAGGCTTAAGCTGAGTTGGGGCTTTAATAAAAGACGAAACTGGTCGCTATTAACCCCAAAATTCTGGTCCCTAAAAGGGCTGCACCAGATTTCAGCTTTGGCTAATTTCTTCAAAGTCTCCGACGGTGTGCTCCGAATTCGTTCGGAACCTGATAAAAATAAAACAGATATCTGCCCTACTAAATTCGACATTCCGGACTCAACGGCGCAGTCAAAATTTCCATCAGAGGTCATCTCGATAAAAAGTGGGTCCCACTTCCATCGTCCATTTTAAGTCAAAAAACACACAAGGGCTCGAAAAAATATCGGCAACCTCAGGACACAAAAGAAGGGTCATACTAGACCAAACTCGACATTCCGGAAACCTCAGAATGTTGACTAAAGTCAAACTTAGCCTTAAACTTAAAGTTAAAACGCCTAATCGCACCAACTAGCCTAAGATGACCCTTTCGGAGCTGATGAAATCGTCAGAATTGGATTCTGATGTCATCTTCTTGAACTTTTGATCGAAAATGATCGTTCAAGGTTTATAAGCTCCAAAAACACTAAAACTCACACAATAACCAAACGAACGACCAGCTGACCAAACTGTCAGTCCCAGCAAGTCATAAATGACTTGGGATCGCTATAGGAACGCTCTAAACGACGCACAAAAGACAAAACACAGAAATGACCAAGAGGGTCATTACATTACCTTTGATCGACCTTGGAAGTTGGACCCTATTCATATTTCTATGTAGTGTCAAGCTGCCAAGTTTTGTTGTAGATGAGTTTTGTCTTCTGTATTGACAATTCAAATTTGCACTTGGCTGGAAAAGGAAAACTTCAACCTTTTTACCTCGCTTTGCTCCATTTCTTTCAGTTGTCAGTTTGTCTGATGTGAAATGGAAACTCCATTTAGGTGACTAATTGATGCTTGCAGATAACTGGTTTTCCTCTTTCTTAAGCTTCTATGCGACCTAAGGTCCATAAACAACTAAACCGTGTCAGTGAGGGGCAGAGAGGAAAAAATAGGAAAAAATGTATGATATTTATTGAAAGATCTCTAGTTGATGTCACTTGGCAAAAAATAAGAATGGAGCTCCAGTTGTTGCTTTTCACAAGTTGTATATATGGTTGGCAACTTGATAAATGCCAGTAAATGGCTCTGCTGAGTCATTGAAACAATTTATACATACTTTGACACCTGCTTGGTGTCTAGTTATGAAAATTTTGACTTACCAAAAAAGATTCTAAGACTTCTGATACCTTGTTGCTTGCTGACTGTGTGAGAGCTTCACTTTTCTTTGTTGTACTGTCAGTTCCATTTTAAAGTTGCCTAATTCTTCTCTGCAATCCTGGTTAAATTTTTTGTCCTTCACCATTCTATTGAACCACTACTTCAGCTTCTTAGAGAATTGAAGTTGTCAGCCTTTGTATAGATTTCAGATTCTATGTTGACTACTTGATGGCTGTTGTGTGTGACTGATTGTTTCAGTCTTGACATGCATGCGTTAGTTAGTTTCCATGTATTGTTCTGCAACCATGCTACCAAGTCATTCAACAGGCTTTCTATTAATTGGTAATTTACATCCATTTTTTTTCTTCAGGCTGCAAGAAACAATGTCCTTCTTGCTGTACCAGCACTACTCTATGCCATAAACAACTACCTAAAGTTCATCATGCAGGTACTATTTGTTGAGCTTTTCTGTGCTTGTTAGTTCTCTGAGTAATTCCCATAGTTTTGTTATTTCATCCAGCATCTTACATTTTGCCTCTGCATTTTTTCTTGTACTGTACAGAGCTACAAAGTTGGAACATTGTCTTGCTTCATCCATGGTATTCATAGAGAATTACAGATCTTCCATGAGAAAAGTTGCTCTCAAACTTTACCTGTTTGTCTCAAAACTTGGGATATATCCAGTACTAGTTTCTAGGTTACATATTGACTTCTGAGCTAGGCAGTTGGATTTATACCTCAAACTAAGAAATCTGAATGCTGCTTGAGTACATAGAGTGATGATTCCATAGAGATTGGTATTTGTTAATAACTAATAACAAACTTCTATCTCTGGCGTCAATGGACTATTGTGGTTTTGCAAGAATGCTTCTGTGCACGATATTTTCTGCTTGCTGTCACTTTGTCCTTAGCACGACTAAGAATTCTAAATAAGGGAGTCTGCTGACTAACCAATTACCTTTGTTAGATGCCCTACTGGGCGAAGGTCTGGCATGTATAGACAAGTAGACATGCCATATCATGGTGCTGTAGAAGACAAGTGATGTCTTGACTCTTCCCTCTCACGGCTTAGATGTAAATGAAGAATTAAATTCATTTTTCGTAACTCTGTATCAGTTTATGGGTTCTTTTCTATACATCCCCATTCACTTTATCAGTTATTGAGACACCTCTATGAAACTTGATTCATGTTTGGCTTGGAGTCTACTGAGTCATGAATACATATTTGATTGACTGTTCTACTACTATTAAGATCTTTTCACTGTCCAATATCACATTTAAGTCACAGCTTGCTAGCTACCAGGCTATACACTGGATTTTCTTTTACCACAGTTCTCCTTTTTCTCACATTTTCCCTCAAATATTTTGTACAGTTATATTTCAATCCAGCAACAGTGAAGATGCTAAGCAATCTGAAGGTAACTGCTATATTTGAACACTTCTACAACGTATTATCTGATTGTGTTTGCTGCTTTTGCCGATTTTCTGCTGCATTCTTCAATTACTTTATTGACTCTGGCTCCTCTTCTTTCTTTTCATCATCTGCTACATTTTGATTTTTTGTGGGATAGAGTTACCTGGTCCTGTATTGGTGGGAGGTTGTAGGAACTCTATGGAATTAGTGGAGGTGCGCTAGATCTGGCCAGACACCACATTTGTAAAAATACAATGTCGCTAAATTCGGTTAGCACAATCCAACTTCATCCCTGTATTCGCCATCTCTGGATGAAACCTAAATTTGGATTAACTTCCATACGGTACGAATATCTCCCCAGATCTTTTGGGATTGAAGCGTTACTGTTGTTGCCGTTGTTTCTTGATCCAAATCTGTCTGGATTAGATTCCACAATTTTTGGTTCAGGACTAGACTGAAATTGCCCCCATCTTAATCTGTATTATGGAAGCTGCCAGTGCATAGAACTATTTTCTTTTTGAAATTTCAAGTAATGTGGATTGAAGTCCATGAAGTACTCTTTGTTAATAGCTTGCAGTCTTTAGCTGGTGCTTAATCTAATGAAGGAAGTTGTTTTAGCATCTTTCTAGAATGTCCAAAGTTTTCTGTTAACATCCTTCTTACAGGGCAGAAAAAAAGGACTACTCTTTTTTGTTCACTTGTCTCTCTATTAACCTAAATCCAAATAGTTTTATTAAGGTGGTTATTTCTTTTCAGGAGCCTTAGATGTGCTAAGAACATGGCCCCTTGGATAAATGGGTATAGGCTTTAATTATTTGTGTGCTGGACGGAATTCCTACATGATAATTGATGTCACCTTTTCCCATTCCAGGGAGTGTTGAAAAGAAGTTCAATTCCATTAGAAGCCAGTTCCTTTGGGAAGGAAATGCTAACAGGAAAATTTTGATTTGACCAAATGGCATGAAAAAAAGACAATAAAGGAGGTGGATTGGGTGTTAAAAATTTTAAAGCATCATAACAAGAAGGGGTATTCCTTTGTGTAGTTCTTCTATGAAATTCTCAGGAATGTGCCGAACACCTTTTTATTCATTGTAATCATGCAAAGCAGATATGAATTCTGTTCCTAACTCAGAGTGATATCAGGTATGAATTAGGTGATGCCAAAGAATGTGAGTGATCTATTGAATTGTTGGCAAAATCAGAATGTCGGGAAAATGAAATGCAAATCTGGGAAATGATACCTCTTTGCATCTTTTGTACCCTTTGGTTGGAAAGGACTACACGATGTTTTGAGAATTGGGAGAATCATTTAGCTAGCGTTAAGAATAGTCGTCTTCTTAATCTTTACTTGTGGTGTTGGGTACGTATGGCAGAAGACTTAGATCAGTACATGGATTTTATAGAAGCTTTGAGAATGTAACAGTTGCAGTTGCGCTGTAGTTTGTATGCTTTTAGTACCTTCTTGGTACTTATCGGGAAAAAAATGTGGTTATTTCTTTTTCGATACCTGAGACTTTACATATCAGTTGATGATTTCTCAGTTTCGACATTATACACCAAAGGATATATTTCAGAATACTTTATTGAATATGATGCTATGGTAGAGCTTTTCTTTAATATTTGTTTCTTTGCTGTCAATGTGCAGGTTTTGGTTATTGCAGTGCTGTTGAAATTTATCATGAAAAGGCGATTTTCCGTAATTCAGGTTAGTTGTTTCAAACTAGTAAATTAAGCTGGAGGTGCAATATTGATTGTAGGAGCAGGAAAGAGCAAGGCATCCTGTATAAATTCTTGCAGGATGGAAGTTGTATACCCATATAATAAGAGTTATTATGTTACAGTGGGAGGCTCTTGCTTTGCTGCTAATTGGGATAAGCATTAATCAACTTCGATCCCTTCCTGAAGGCACCACTTCTTTGGCTCTTCCAGTTACCACAATTGCCTACATCTATACACTGATTTTTGTAAGTGATTCAAACAACCTAACAAGCTACTACTGATTCTATTTTGTTTGTTATTGGAGACGGCCTTAGTAAATACCTGGACATCATTTAAGATACTAGTTTATTACTGGCTAAAGGAGGGGTTTTCTTTTACACAGGTAACTGTGCCTTCTATGGCCTCAGTATTCAATGAGTATGCTTTGAAGAGTCAATATGACACTAGCATATATCTCCAGGTATATTAATCATGGCTAATTATCATTTTTCTATTTCTGTATCATCAGAATGTTCTGTGGTTAGATTGGCTCATTATTTTCCACTGCTTTCTTTCCTGGGACAACTATTACTTTTGAATGGATGTATAACTTTTATGTTCCTATACTTGAGGCATTTATCAGTGCCAGTTTACTGCAATATTTGATTCTTAGAAGACTTGGCTCATTTAAGAAATGTCCAAGAACATTTGTCAACGGTAAATTCTGACTTCGAATGCCTTGTACAAGGGAACAAGGAAGATGTATCACAGTAATTTTATTAAGATTCAATATGAAGAGCAGGTCTCTCTTATGATAAAAATGTAACATTGTAATTTAGTTACATTTCCATATGAGAGTACTTGGTATGATGAACATATAAAGGATTTCTTTCAGTTTCACTGTTTGTGCTAGCTTTTTCCTTTCCTTATATTCTAATCCGGCTTGTACTAGGATCTTTATCCTAGAGCAGCATCTGTTGTCCAGTTATAGGACTTCAACTGATGCATGTCAGGTCTTGTCTCTGTAGCAACAGAGATTATGCTAATTTCTCCATTCGTAGAGGACGGTCGGGACTTCTATCAGCACTCTCTTCCTGAACCATCTGACATGTTACAATTTAATTCGCAGAACTTATTTCTCTATGGTTATGGTGCTATATTCAACTTTCTAGCCATTCTTGGGATTGCTGTATTTAAAGGTAATGAGTTGATTCTGAGGGTTTTCCTATGAATCACAATTTTTAGTACGTGACAATGCAAATAATAACTGACTAAATAAAACTGCACTTGACTTTACTAATTTGCCCATTTTGTTTAAAAAATAATACTGTTTCTCTGCTATCTTAATATCATTATAGTTCGTAGGTCCCTTCTTTTATGGTTAATCTTCAGACTTCAAGTAAACTGTTACAGTTATAAATACCACATTATTACACTTGCCTGGATTAGAATGTACCGCCTGGAGAAAACCTGCAAAATTGCAAATGACAACACTTCTCTGTTTTAGTGTAAATCATGTTACTGTAATGTCATAGTGGTTAAAGATCTTATCGTACACCTAATGACAAATCATAATACTGAATCTCTTAATGGTAACACAAATGTTTTTAGTTTGGGAATCAATCAGGTGTGTATATATCTTCTCTTATAGGAGTGGAGTGGTCATTGGGAACCCTCATGATGACATATATGTCTATGCTTGTAACCTGTGTGAAAATTCTGTCCTCGTTTTAAAAAGTTTGTCCATGGTGGTATCAAAAAAATGATTCTGTAATGTTTCCTCTGAATTTTTTCAGGTCCTGGTAGCTTGGATATTTTTCAGGGGCATTCGAAGGCAACCATGCTTCTAATTGTTAACAATGCAGCGCAAGGAATTCTGTCGTCCTTTTTTTTCAAATATGCTGGTGAGATCATTACTCAGTTTGCTCCACCTTCTTTTCGCTCTTTATATCCTCTATTAATGGGGGTTGTTATATGTTTCTACTTGGTGCTTCTGTGTAACTATCTCACTTTTAACTAGAAATTTTTTTCCTTTATGGTATTCTGCTGTATAACACAATTTGTTTGTACCAGATACAATTCTGAAGAAGTATTCTTCGACCGTTGCAACAATATTTACAGGCATAGCATCTGCTCTGCTGTTTGGTCATACACTGACCGTAAACTTTCTTCTTGGGATTTCTGTTGTTTTCATTTCAATGCATCAGGTATTAAAATTGAGAGAGTTCTCCCTCTGGTATTTTCTGTTTTTTCTCTTGGGGCTGATCATTTGATTTTGATACTTCAGTTCTTTTCACCTCTTTCAAAAGTTAAAGATGATCAACAAAACGGGACAGTGGAGTTGATTGACGTCCGGGAGAACCATAGGTATTTACTTGTTTAGTGTAAAGCAAAACTATGTCTCAGCCCCAAGTTAGTACTTGTTTTGTGTAAAGTAAAACTATATCTCAGCCCCAAGTTATATTTCCTTGTCAGCTACTGTTCTTAGGATACTGCTTTCTGTAAACTAATTTAGTTTTTTATATATGCTGAGAATGTGATGGAAAGCAGGATTCTGATGGCTTGCTCCCGGTACATCCATTCATTGAAAATGATTTGTGTCTGCTGAATGAGTAACACGATAATCCAACTATATAGCCAACTTTTCTTGTAGCAGATGTAGTTCTGCATGTAATTCAGCTTCACAAATTTCTCATGGCTGTGACTTTTATCATGTCATTTAAGTTTATATCGTATCATTGGATTACTCTTGTCTTTATTTATGTATTTCAAAGTGTCAAGGTCCAGATGTAATCAGTTTAGAAAATGTGTGAATTTATTGCTTTCCTGCATAGCTGATGGGTTGCTTCTATTTCTTTTGTTTCTATTTATGAAAATAGTACCTCCTTGTCGCTTGATATGATGAATGCATGCCTTTTTTCTTAAAATAATATTTAAAAGATAAGTTACAAGTTATTGGCATAAGGTCCTTTGCTGTGCAAGATAAATACTAGTTTCAATTACTAAGACAACAAGTCATACTTACTATTGGGTGATGATTGATATTAGCCATACTATGTACAGAAGCATTTAATAAGTTCTTTCTTGATGCTGGTAAATACTTCGTGAGACCTTAATTGTGCAAGTTTCTTTAATTCCTTGCTGTTTTCCAACTATAACATCAAATCTATTTATTGAAAAATGGATCTGAAATAAATGCTAATCTTTTAAGGTGTGTATATCATAGAGGTGCATCTTCACTCCCTTCACCCGTCCTTTTGACCCCCCACCCCACCCCCACCCCTCACCCCAAGTTTAAAAAGCTGTATCTGTTAATACTTCCCTCTTGTATTGTTTTCAGCCCTAAAGATTCATCCTTTGTAAATATGGCAGCAGGAGCAAATGAGGAGGTATGGATCTTTTCTTCAGAAATTTTTAGATACAAAGTTTTTGCTGTATTTCCTACTTAAACTTGGATTGATTTCATGTTAATTCTTTTCCAGGCAAGTCATCGAGTAGGACCTGATGAAAGGCAGCCACTTCTTCCAAGATGAAGCTACTTGAACTGTAAGTGTGCTAAAGTTTCTATACTTTCTGATGATCTGATCCAAGTTATTAACTTGGATACACATAAATTAAGACAATGTTCAAACTTTTTATGGGTTATGGATATGTCTCTTGGTTACACTTACTCAAGGGAAACATGTGGGAGGACAAAAAAGAAGACCAGGAGAGTTTGGTTGGCACCTTGATCATCTAATGGGATTGTATATCATGTCCTGTTTCTCTTTTTATTTTGATATGTATAAAAAGAACTAATCAACAACAACATATACCCACACAGCGGAGTCTGTTCTAGAAGAATAAACAATTTCACCATCAACAGATGCCATTAATATTGTTTTATATTGCACTTAATTAATATGAAGTAGTTTCCAGTCGGAGTAAGTTATGCTATTTTCAGTTATCAATGTTATGAGCTGTAGATATAGACACCAAGAAGCTATGCTAATGTCGTTTCGTAGTCAGATTCCATGTATGTTGAGTGATTTACAACTAAAATGCACCAGATTGTCGTGAGAAGTATATCGTGCATTTGTTGGTCTGTAAAACTCAGTTCCTGGATATGGTGCCTTGTTATTATACATTTTGGTTACCTGAAAATTGTTATTGTAGGTCATTTGTAGCAGCAGATATTGTGGTGGAGAGCATTTACAGTCATTCAGTGTAATATGGAGAAGAAACAGTGTTGTTGTAGTCTCTCTTTTCTTCTCTCTCCAAAATGTGCTTCATGGGATTGTTTCGCTTGGAGAGAAGGATATGTGGATGGAGAGGTTTTAGGTAGACAACAACAATAGAGTTGTTATGCAATACGAATACGAGCTGTTGTATTATAAGTTACAAACACATGAATTTTATTGTAAACAATTTAGAGTTATCAATTCTTTCATATATTCTTGTAATCAATTGAATTTTGATGATACACCCGTGGATGTGTTAGATTAAACATTTCTTTTTGTAATTTCAAGCAAATTGTACTTGAATGGTAATTCATTTCATATATCTTCTTCTTTATTCATTTCATGTAGATTTTCAACTGAGTCAATTTCGTTCTCTTCCATTATATTTTGTATGTAAAAAAGTAGTAGTAGTATTTTGTCACACAAATGCCATGAACCTCTCTCTCTATACCATCTCTCTCTCACCTTCCAATTCCATCCGCTTCACTTCTCCAAAACGATGTTGTCACTACCACGTCATTTCTCGCCGAGTCTCCCCCTCCCCTTACCGTCGACGCCATCTCCGCCGCCGCCGCTTCCCCTTTCTTAAAAAGTTCTCCCCGGAAGACACTCCACCGTCCGATCAAAACCTCCACTTTGTCCTTACCGTCGATAATTTGCCTACCAAATCCTTCTACTCAATCAAGGACCTCATCCACTTGAAGCTCCGAGAATTCCTCCACTCAGGCCGAGCTGCCATTGAAGACTTGCAAACTCTCATCCGTATAGATACCGACGCCGGGAGAGTTTCCTTCTCCTGCACAAGGTCCACCGTTAAATTCCTAGCAACTCTACTAGTTTCAACTTTCCTACTTATTTTCACTCTTAGGGCTATTCTTAACCTAGTTCGGCGGATACCACTCAACACTGGAAACAACAACGTTGAATTAGTCTATAAGAGAGACCGTAGTTTAGGTGGAAGAGAAGTACTTGTTGCTAAAAATGAGACGCCTACGCTTGATAGGAAGAAACCAAATGTCTTGGATAGAGATGAAGGAAATAGTAATTGGGATTTGGATACTCCAATTAGCTTTTCCAGGAGGCGAAAGAAGAAGAGTTCTGTGGAGCAATTGCCTAAATGGTGGCCTGTTTCGACTTCTGGTTCCGATCAAGTTGGGACAGAGAATCAAGAAGAGTATCAGAGAATGGCCGATAGATTGATTCGAGGTAATTTTATTTTCTAGGTTATTGTTAGGTATGCATCTGTTTTTTCCTTCATAGTTGTGCAACTCTTCTTTCATGTCTAAATTGTCTTATTGTTTAATCCATTGAAAGAATGGAAGACATGAATGATTGTTAGTTATGCACTTCCTTTTAAATCACAGTTTACAAATTTGCTTTCCAGCCATCTTGGACAATAGAATGACGGGGAAGGACATTTTAGCGGATGATATAATTCAAGTCAGTATGTTAATGGCTTCTTAGTTTTCACTATCTTTATTTATATACAAATGTGAATTGTTTGCATAGTTACTTAGTTTTTTAATTTTGTTTGCAGCCCCCTATATTTATGAGTTTGTCACACATACCATATTAACTTCTTTTGCTCCAAGTAGCCCTTTGAGCACACAGATTTGCAACTTTATACACATAAATATATGGAAATGCGAGCTCCATTTCAGGAAAGGAAATTATAAGAATGAAGTAACCCCAATATCAAAGTTTTTTATTTTGAGAATAGTAAGTGTGTATTATATCTAAAAACTATAGTTAGATAGCCTTTTCATTTTGCATGGTACCATCTCAGTTCCTCTTTTCCTTTTCAAAAAATCTGTTACTTCACTGAAGAAAAGTATTAAAGAATTGTTCAACATCATTATAATTTTTTATATTTCAAGTTCAAAAAAAATATATGATTTTTTATTTTCCAAGAATATAAGCTATACTCAACTTTGTGCTAACATGCTGGTCCATTTGTAGTTACGACGCATAGGGAGGATATCAAACGTGAAAGTTTCATTTGATACTGAGAATGCACGTGATACCCTTTTTCGCGTGGCAGTCGACTTTATTCTTAATTATTGTGAAAGGTAGCTCATTTAGCTTGATGACTGATTGCTAGATGCCCTCTTTTGCATCTTTTTACCCTCTTATAGTTTCTTCTTCTTTGCTCTTCTGCAGCACTGCAAGTCAGTCAGCTTTTGTTCTAATTGATGGTGAAGAAGCACAAAACTTTGTTGCTGGGCTTGCTGATAATGTTGGACTTGAGAGTACTCGGGCTGCAAGAATGGTGTCTGCAGCTGTTGCTGCACGCACTAGGTCAAGGTTCTTGCAAGCTTGGGTAAGGTTTTTCTACTACTTTGAATTAAATTCATTTTTTGCATTTGGACTTCTTGAAGCAGGCTATGATATTAAAAACCTTAATCCATCCACAAAGAGTATTGCATTAATCTACTTCCTTTTTGAAGCTATCATATCTTCTTTAGCATTATAGTTGGGAGAATTTGTAAGCTTAGGAGGATTATGGCAGAACCTATCACTTCTTTTTTAACAATAGACAGATGTGACCCAATTGGATTATTTAGGCCAAGTGTTTACTTGGTTCAAGTGGTGTCAGGATTTAAAATTAATTCAAGGAAGTGTGAGATTATGCCCGTTGGGGATGTGGAAGACATCCATCAATTCCCAGGTTCTAAGTTGTAGGGTTGGGGCTCTCCCAACTACCTACTTGGATTACCTTTAGGTGCTTCGAGATCATTGGGTGTGGAATCCCGGTCTTCAGGAGTGACAGGTGGCAGAAAAGATGCTTGTACAAAGGCAGGAAGGAAGTGCTTATCAAGAGCATATTATCAAATATCCTCACTTATATCTTTTCTTTGGTTCATGCTCTATCTTCAATCATAGAAAGTTGGGAAGGATCCAAAGAAATTCCCTTTGGGACGCGGCGGATGGGGCAAGGAAGTTCCACTTGGTGTGGTGGGAGCCTGTCATGTCTCCTAGAAGGTAAATGTTTTTGTGGAGAGGGTCAATAATCCATAGATATGGGGCTATGGAAGGGAGTGGAAATCTAGAAATGTGTATGCATTTTGGGAGGGAAGTTAATTTTTGGGGTCATAGGTGGTGTTAGAATAATTAATGAAATACATTTCAAGCTTGCACAGAGCATCTTGCCAAAGAGACTTGACAATACAACAATTTAGGGGCTTGGCTAGCTACTAGATGGGCGATTAGAAAGCGTAAGGTTATTTGCGTTAGCTGGTGTTATATTTGCAAGCGGGCAGGATATGGATTCATCTTCTTCTTCATTGTGGTCTTACCATGAGGATATGGGGGAACATGGTTTATTGGTTTGGTACTTCTCGGGGCTATGCTAGGGACTATGAAAGAGTTGATGTTCAGTTGGAAGAGCGGGAGAAAGAGGAGAAGACTCGGGGCTTGGAACATGGTTCCACTTGCGTTAATGTGGTCGGAGAGCTTTTGAGAGGGTAGAGTTGAGCTTTGCTTAATTAATAGTAGCCACTGATCCCTTATATTCTTTTGGTGCACCCATAAAGTTCCCAATTGTATAGAAGATTAGTTGAAGTTTGTAGAGAATCGTTTCTTTTTGTAGATTATATACCTTTTGGTATTCCTCTTGCATACGGTTAATTTTTTGCCATGTTTATGAATGAAAATATATTTACTTGATAAAAAAACTATTGAAACCGAATTAGTTAGTAAGCCCTCCTAATTAGCAATTTCATATCTTCTCATACCCTGAAATCTAAGGTATTGTCTGCGTCTTAAGCCCTTTGTTCCTGGTCCACTACTATCTCATAGGAGCCTTTTGCGGAAAATTACTTTAGTGTCTAGTCGCATATGCTATAGTTTGTTTATCATAAAAATAAAAATCAACAAAAACACATCCTAAACAGGCTCGGGAAGCATCACAACAACAACAACAACAATCACAATCCTCTCAAAATAATTCTAAACTCAAATCACAATCCTCTCAAAGAAGATTGAATTGGATCAAGTTAGGATGAGAATTGTGTGAAATTAACTTCTATGAACTGGAATATCGCACAAAATAAATGGAGGAGTGGATGTCTATTGTACAGCCTCTTCAGTTTACATCTTCCCAATGAAGCTGCTTCCACACCTCAAATTTTGTGTGAAAAGTCTCATCATAGAAATGCAAGGTAAGACTCTTGTGTTGTACATTTACTCTCCCCATACTCTTTACCACTTTTGTGCATGGGTAAGCCCCTAATATAATCGATTTAGCAAGGAAAATGGAAGGGACCTAGCAAATAAACAGTTGCTAATCATTGCCATCTTCCTCTTTTACCTTAATAAAGGAAGAACTTAGGTCTTCCATAAAAATAAATCCCTCCAAGATAATGGGATCCTGGAGCACAAAACATGCTGCATTAGCAGCTTCCGAGGAAGTTCCATACCACAAGGGATGTAAAATAGACAACCTACCCAAATGTAATTAGTGGCTGCTTCCACGGCTCGAATCTGTGACCTTATCGGTCACATGGAGACTACTTTACTGTTGCTCCAGTTTCCAAGATGAGCTAATAAAATAAGTCATCAGTTCTAAAGCCCCTATAGATTAATATGTAAGTGTAAGGAAACTAAATAACTGTTTTAGGTCCTTGTAATTTAACTAATCTATCAACTGCTCTGGTAGGCTGAATGAATCAGCCAGTGAACTTATGTATATTTCGCCACGGATTTGGTGATTGAGAGAATTATTATCTTGGAAAAGAAAAAAGCTCGTCTTCCATCTTCAGTTTCCCTCTAAAATAAACTGTTGGCATGATGAAACTAATGGATGATCAAGAATGCAATATAGTTTACTTGTACTAATGCTACTATGATCATTTAATTTTCAGGCCTTGGAAATACAGGGAAAGCATTCTGAAGCTGTGGTGGAACTGTTCAAAATATGTGTCATCCACCAGATATTTCCTCCTGAAGAGTTCTCGGTTTGTATTTCCTCATCTTGCCTACTTCTGTAAAGTTCGTGTGATTTATGCTCTGATTGTGTATCTCAAGGTGTGTACTGTATTAATTCTTTTAGAAGTGCCTTAACATTGAGCCATTGATATTTTAAAAACCCAGGAAAACTAATTGACAAACTTTTCCTGATCCAATTTCTGATGGAGTATGATTATGGACTATTTACTCTTTGTGGTAATTTTCCGAGTTGTCGCTATTTCAAGGAGCCAATGCTCTTTGCATCATAGTGTCAGACTATTTCATGTTATTTGTTGTTTTATTGGCATGTCTCTACAGCCTGAGATGGAGATGGTGGCTCGTGGACTTGAGAAACACTTAAAAGTAGACCAAAGGGAGTCCCTGATGAACAGTCTTCTACAAGTGTGTGGTGATGAGACCAGGAGAAGTGTGGCTGAAGCTTTGGGTCTGGTATGCCTAGTTTATTACTCCCCTTCCCTATCTAGAAGATCTGGAATTTGTTGTTCATTGTTGTTGTGCTTCTATTGAGTGACATTTCAATCGGAAGTGGCGTCTCCTGTCAACTTCGCTTGTTCTTGTGCTTTCTGAAAGAATTTTGCCCTTCAGCTGTGTAAAATAGATCTTAACCGACAGTGCGGAGAAGACAGAATTCTATCCTCAGTCTTGTACACTGTCTTGCTCCCATTTCTATTTGTTCTTTTCAAGCTCAAGTCACACAACAGGAGTTTGTTGAATGTTTCCTAAATCCTTAAATCAATACAGATTCCACCTTCACCTCTCCAACCTCTGGGAAGTTAACTTTTTTCTAATATCACTACTCTGGCAGTGTGAAGAAGTATCTTATTACCATGGATGTTATAAAATTGTTGGATTTTCTCTTTAGAATTTGTAGACAAATCTGAGCCAAGTCTAGCTAGGGCAGGGACAGTCTGGACTACTGATGCAATACTTATTGCAGAGGTTATCTGCTATTGTAATTGGTCGAGTTATCCTTTGAAATACAATATGGTCTTATTACCTTTGTGGTATTAAAAGTAACATTTATTTTCTACACAGATGTGTATATTGATATTGATGTTTCCTTTATTTGTTGGTTTTTCACCATCTATCTGCTTCTTGTTGATTTGTTTTTACTTGTTCTCTTCTGCAGATGTACATGAAGAGTAACATTGCTCATCAACAAGAAAACAAGTATACATAGATCACTAATTTATGCGTACAGGAATTGATTTTTAAAGATGAATAATGTTTTATGCTCAAAAAGACATTGGTGTACAAGTAGTACTGCCTGTATGCAATAACCTTACGAAATGCTTCAAGTGGATTATTGGATGTATCATGTAAAAGGTAATGTTATCTGCTAGAAGAAGGTCCAATGCACATCCTTCTTTGTTCTCTTAATTTCATCAGCATAGCTATGAAGTTGAACTTCTTTAGTAGTGATCTCAAAACAATGAAGCTTACATGCTGAGACCAGATATCTATACATGTTTTTATCTTCTTTTTTCTTTTCTTTCTTTAAATGGATGATAGTTCCTTCTGTTTGGATCTTTGGTTAGTCTTTTGATAGAAAGGTTAACGGTTTCTAAGTGAAGTTGCGTTTTGCCAAATGATTGTGGTTGGAAAGATTGATTTCTTCAGAAATAGGCTTTATAATTATGTTATTTTCGGCAAAACAATGATAGCTCCGTATCAAAGTATGGGTAACAGAGATGTTTGCCTGGGGATGAAATGCAACAGGACAGTAGAATTGCAGTTTTACAAATTACAACATAGAAGCTTCACATTACATATATATATATATTTATAAATCAAACCATGAACATAAAAAAAAAAATGCAAGTCCAAAAATATTACATGATAGAACAACTAGAATGGCAATTATGATTCCCAACGTTTATTGTATGGGCGGGGCTAAAGTAGGATGATCTCAAGAAGCAGCAACAGCGGTTGGGTTAAAAGGTTTTTGTTCGGCGCAGTTGAGTACTTCGTGAGGTCCTGCTTCCTCGCGACCAACCCCCATCAAGTCAAGGTAGTAGAGGTAATGGGAGACGATGTTGTTCATTGCGTCAACATCACCTTGGCCACAAACACCATCACCATAGAGAATATTCATGGTGGTACCGAAACCAGGAACTCGTTTAGACAAAGTATCATTCTTTGTGGGCTTCCAGTTGCCCACAAAGGCATCATGAGCTGAAGGCTGACCCTTCTTCATTGGGTTCATCCACCTCCAAATGGCAGCCTGGAAAGCCATGGTAGCATTTTGTTCAATGTATTCAGGATGATCCAAGAGATTAAGCTTGAGGGCTTCACCAATAGCTCCATAATTGTAGTTCCTTTTTTGAAAAGAGAAGAAAAATTCTTAGCAATCAATCAGATGCAGATCTAATAATATATATGGAAATTACCAGTAGATAGGCAAGGCACCACGACCGTAATATCTGGCTCCAGGAGTGCATGGGTAGGTTAATTTGAAGTATTCATCACAGTAATCTTGGCTGGGACTCATTTCTTTGTTATAGCATAGACCATAAGCGAGTGGTCCGCCAGTGGCGACACCATAACCACCTGGATTTGTAATTAATACTCTTAATCTAATAATAATAATAATCATCATAATAACAACAACAACAAATGAATGAACTTACAAGAAGTTTTGCTACCGACATGTCCAAAAAAAGCAGCAATCTCCTTCATCTGCATTTTCTTACCACCGGTGGTACCAAATCCAAGAGGCTGGTAAAGTGCTGCAGCCCTAATGAAAGATCCATAATCCCAGAATCCAACAGCATGAGCTACGGGTGAGTTCCTCTTAGTGAAAAGGAGCTCAAATTGGTCAACATCCAGATAATCAGTAATTGTCAAATTACAACAAAATTTAGACAATTTGTTGCACTCCCAATCCTTCACACACATCTTGGTACCCTTCACCGTCTTCACTAGTGTGGGTTGCTTCCTGAATGACTCATTCTCATCTCCATGAACAAAACCCCCAATGATTACCAACAGAAACAAAATCATAATCATCCTCATCTTCATTTTCTTAGTAGAAAGTGAATAGAATAGAAGAGAGAATGAATTTTCTTTGGTACAAAAGAAGCAAGAGTTAGATGGAGTATCTTTTTCAATAAATATGAGCTTACGGTGGAGATTGTTTGTGATGTGTGAATGGACGGTAGAGATTATTGGGACAGCCTGGATTTGGAATCAAGCAAAGCAATGGAGGGTGAACGCTGACCTACTTAAGCTAATGCCACTCCACCGACACCTTACCATTTTTCATTTTCATTTTCATTTTTGTGACAGCTAACCACTATCTACCTTTCCTTATTAATTTGTTCATTACAAATTAAGTAATGATAGTTATTAGTGTCTTCTTTTTTTTTAAAAAATCTACTCTGTAATTAATATATTTATTTTATTGTGTTATTATTAATATCATGAATATGTAGGTATTTTAGTAATACAATTGTTTTGATGAGGACAATTCCCTCAGAATATTTTTTTATTTATGTAAATGCATGTTATTATATGATGACAAACTAATAAATCAAATTAAATGTTATAATCACACTTTGATTATATTGTCTTGCAGCAAACTATTTGTTAGTTTTTTCTCTCGCTCACCGCCTCTCACTTTTTTTATCCGTTTGTGTTTGTATAAGCGAGAAAAAAATTGTATATATACATATATTTTCGTTTTATATATACACAAATTATACAATCATTTGTATACAACAGTTTTATATATATATATATATATATATATATATATATATATATATATATATCAAATTACAATTGATTTCTTTATATATGTATAGCGAATTGTACATATTTATGTTTGGTATGGAGTACAATTATGTAAATTTTGCTATAACATACAAATATGAATTTTGTGTTTGCTATATGTGAAAGTTGCTCTTATTAATGTACCAAATTAAACAACACATACAAATAATTTATGTATAATTAATGCAAGTATTACTAATATATTTTATTTTAACATTATTCTTATACACTTTATCGAAGAAACATTTGTTTTTGTTGCACAAATTTTTCTTATAGAAATTGATATTTTGATGTATGACATCATATTGCTATTTTTTTCTTATAAAAATTGATACCAAGGAGCAAACAACATATGACATCATATTTACTATTTTTCTTGTGAAATTTGTCATTTTTTAAAAAAAATTAGTAATAAAATAATTTTTAGGCAATATGTGTATAACTCATCAGGCAATTTATATATATTCTCGAAGATATACCTTTTAGGTATTAATGTAGTTAAATAGGCGATAGACATAAGATGTATAAATCTTGCATGATTTTTTGAGCAATTTTTATATAGTTTCGTAAAAATAATTTATCAAATTAAGATTATTAATTTATAAGGATGATTTAGATAACGAAATTTTAAATTTTTAATTTTTTTTAAAAAGAGTGAAAAATATTTCTCGATCAGTAATAATAAAAACAAATAATTATTGCATTAAAAACGAACTCAAACAATTTGAAAGGATAGATAACTCTATATGTTTTGAGAGACCAAAATTTCTAAAAGAATGACTTCATATCTCTTTACATATATGAAATGAAACTCAAAAGTGTTTTTCGTTTTACCGGTTTTCGGTAAAAAACCGTTTCCACCCTTGTTTGAAAAGCATTCATTTTAGAGTTTTGGCTCAAAATTCCGATTGATCGGAGTGAAGGCGCAATCAAGCTGTAAGCTTACTTCTTTGTTTGTGGATTCAGAAACCCTAAATCCCTTTTAGTTTAACTATCAGTTATTTTGTAGGAATACTTTCATATTGTTTGATGGAACTGGGAATCGAAATCCTCGGGGAAAAATGGTTATTCGATTTCTCTTAGTTATGTTATATAATACTAAGTAGTTGTAAAAGAGAATTCTAGAGCATACGGCACACGTAAACAATACTATTGGATGTGTTGGACTTTACCTTCTTTTTAGTGATCTATATTTTCAAATGACTTTGTTAATTCTGCATTGAACTTGATTTAGTGAAAGAAAGAACAACCTTTTATTTCTTTGTCAAGTTTGATTAATTGCAAATGCCTTATTTTACAATTGCTCAGTTTTTGACCATGTTATTCAAGGTTTAAGGTCATTGCTATTGTTTTTGGGGGTCCATAGTTAGTCTATTTATAAAGTGTTTCAACTGATTTATAGGTTTCAACTTGTTTTACAAGTTAGTTTTTGGATCTGCTTAGTTATTTTGTCATGATTTCTTAGGAAATTGAAGGAGATCCTTATAAAATATAAATATTCAGTTATTCCTTGATTCAAGAGGGAAAATAATATGATTCAGTCATCTTTTTTTACCCAAAAAGGAATTAAAGGTATGATTTGGTCATTTTTTGTTGAGGTTGTCTTTCTTTGTAAAAGTAGGCGCATAGAAATCTGGGGGATCACGCGCTTCACGTGGTATTTATTAGGATTAGAGCTGACCCAAATTATGGCTTATCTCATACAACTCAACACGGAGCATTGCTTTTATCGTCAACAAAGAGTGTCTCTCGATAAAAGAAGTCAGCTTTGGAAAAAAAAATCAATTTTGTAGCCAAAACCAGACTGTCAGATTTTCTTTTATTTTGTATTTAAATATCTTTGAATTCAACAATAAAAGGTGAATTGGGTATAATCTCTTGCTTTTCTTCACTAAGTTAGGATCTCAAAAATTAATATAGTTATGCAGTCATTCCTAGATCTTTACTTTCTGCACAGGCTTGCGTTTGTTTGAACTATGGATTACTCTGTGAGTATTTCTTAATCTTTGCTTATGTCTTTAGTTTGTATTTTGTTCCTTAATTCTCTGTTAGAATCTTTATCTTTGTTCATCATCCTAAAGCTGGATCTATCATCTTAAGGCTGAAGTTTATATTGCCTCTTATAATAGATGGAGCAACTTTTATCTCCTCTCGTGTTCAATGGTTCTACTGTAGAAGCCATCACTGAAGCCAAGCAGAAGAAGAAGCTTTTTGTAGTTCTTGTTTCAGGTAACCTGTTTCTAATTCTCTTCAGTGTATTTATGCTATAAATTCCACTAGTGCATCCTAAAAAGAACTTGTCGTTAGATAGATTTGGGTGATGTTGCAGCAAAGTTTATAACATTGAATAACAATAGGTTCCGAAGTATCTCAACTGGACTCAAGGGTAACTGGGGAGTAGTTAGACTCATGATAAGTGTTCTTGACTAACCCGGGGAAGCATATTCTCTCACTCAACCAAAAATGGAAGCATTTCATATGATGATATACGGAGATTTTCAAAAGAATTATTTGCTGATTTTACAAGAATCATAATAAGAAATTAGTAACTATTTTTCCCTTTGCACATACTGAGAGATCACTTTGATGCTTAGGAAATAGATAAGTCTTTAGACTTGTCATCCTAATTGTATTTCTTGCAAATTTGTGTCCTAGGTGGCAATATGGAATCAAATCAATCGGAAACATCAACTTGGCTTGACCCAAGAGTAAGTTTATCCTTACACTTCCTAGAATTTTACTAGGTTTGATGTTTTCAGCCCTTCAATAGTAAGTCCACTTTCTCATCTTTCTTCTAATTACTCAGGTTGCTGATTCTATATCTAAGTACTGCATTTTGTTGCACATCCTAGAAGGAAGTACTGATGCCAGAAACTTCTCAGCATTGTGTATCCTTTGCCTGTATAAAGTTTCTCCCCCCCTCCCCCTTGAGATACTCTATTCCTCGTCTAATTTCTTTTGTTTCTTTACACATCCCTCTATCAGTGCAGGGAGTTTTGTTTTCTTTGTCTATTAATTGCGCGTATTCTGAGAGGGTGAGGGATCTTTCTCTTCTGAATCACCATGAGCTTGGAGCTCATGCTAGATATCATAAACAAGGAATTCTAGGACCTGATTTATGGAAATTTTCTAGCTGAAATTTTGTAAATGGAGTTGGTTAAAGAAACTTCAAGCAGAGGTGACGCTTAGATGTGTTATACAAAAAATTCATCTAAATGGAAGCGAAATAAAACTATATTTTGGGGCAAGTGTAGACTTTATAAACAGATACAATTGGTGCAAGGGTCTCCCTCTGTCTAACAGAAGAACATTCATCATCCTGCTGGCAACTTTCCAGGGTAACCGGGTCAATGTCAATACTGACTGGCTTTTTATATCAATCATACATTTTGATTGGTTACAGAGTGGTGGGAGGTTCATGTTGTATGGGGAGGAGTACTAGCAGTTAAGAACTCTCATATTAATAGATAAAGAGTTGCGGAAATGCATATGTTGAGGTGGAAGTGTGTACATACTAGAAGAGGTAAGATTAGGAATGAAGATATTTGGGACAACATGAGGGAAGCGTGACTGAGATGGTTCATGCATGTGGAAGAGGAGGAGATGTGAAGATGCCCAGTCAGGAGGTGTGAACGGTTAGCTTTGGTGGGTTTAAGGAGAGATAGAGGTAGCCCATAGAAGAAGTATTTGGGAGAGGTGATTAGACAGTTTATTGCACATCTTTAATTTACCGTGGACATGACCTTAAATATTGGGATATGAACGTTGCAGATTAGGGTAAAAGGGGTTAGTATGTGCTGAACATTGTCTTGATATCTTGAGGGTTAGGCTTGGTAATAGTTTGGTAGCATTATTTTTTTTATCATTTCTTGTCCTATGATTTCTATTACTACCTGCCATTTCTCGTGCTTCAGTTATCGCATTATGTAGCTGTTGTTATTGTTCTTTGTTCTCTGAATGCATGGTAATGCTTTCCCTATAATTTTCTATGTGCTCTTTACTTTTGTATTTCTTTTTCATCGCTTGGACACTCTACCTCCACAAGGTATAGGGGTAAGGTTTGCATACACTCTACCCTTTCCATACCCCAATTGAGGGGTTACACTGGGTATATTGTTATTATTTGAAGAAACATACTGAGAGAAAGAAAGAAGAGGGATAGACTAGGCTTGATTATCATCTCGATGAACAGTATTGAGTAAGCAATTGTGTCTTTGACATAGTGAGGCTTAAATGGTACATGCCTAGAGATACTAAAAGTTTCTAGAGTGCTGGAACATCAGGGGAGAAACAAGAAGTAGAAATCGTGATACACTAATCCCTGCTTGTATATGTTGGTTTATTAGGTGGGAGAGATATGCAAAATGCTTTTAAGACGAAGAGAACTCTATGAAGAAGATCAAGGAACATTTTACTTTTATTTAGTTTTTTGGTGTAAACAGAATATCATTAGTGAAGCTGAGAAAGTGATCGACTGGATAGGATCTCTCTTGGAATAGACGGGACATACTTTTGCCCGACCTTTAAATACTTTTGATCGCACCTTCTTAATAATAGAATACCCATTCTAAAAAGAGAAACAATTGATGAAAGAACATTGAAAGAGGAAATGATGACTTATATAGTAAAAAATTTTGATAATACTTTCTCCGATGTGCTAACGTAGGTGGGCGTTCTGCACGAGGTCTGGTAAATAAAATAATTCAGGTGCATAAATGTAGAAGTTATTTCTTGTAACTGCGCATAATGTACTTCTCTATTCACCTTATTTTTGTATTCATATTCAAATGCATCTTTGTCAAGTGTGGAATGATTTGTATTTTCCAGGTACAAGTTCATCTTCTTTAATTGGATTTTCAGTATTCTAACTTCGAAGGGACAAAGACAATGGGAGAAGTAGAAAAAATGTTCATACATGGAGAGTTTCCGAAGTGCAAGTACTTCAATATGTATTAGAAATGCTCCTCTCTTAATAAATGTAAAACCTGCTTTAGTATGAAAACTAAGGATAGTATGAAAACTAAGGAGTTCAGTAGTTAGTGTGATCTACAGTGGTAGTGTTCTCGAAGCCATTTAAAACTTTGTGAATTCTTTCTTGGTTGATGAGTCTTATAATTCGGAAATCTTGCTGTCAATGCCATGCTGTCTATGTGCACTTTTCATGTAGATATACCCTTACATGAGCTACATAGATCCACAGGAGGCTATCCCTTGTATTACAGTTATTGGATACAATGGTGTTCAACTATGGCAACACGGTATGGATCAGCTTAATCTAATGTTTGGTAATAAAAAACATGGCATGATTAGTTGTTTGAGACGTAACTGAGTTGTTGCATCTCTTTCTTATCTCTTAATTATGTATCTAATTTTAGGGGGTTTTGTTTCTGCTGAAAATCTTGCATCTAGTCTTGAGAAGGCGTGGTTAAGTCTTCATGTTCAGGTATTTCTAATGTCATATACGTGTTCTCCATGTAATTTTAATTCTGTCCCGTAGACATGATTCGATTTTCCTGATTTTGTTCCCATTAGTTATGATGAATTGTTTTACTAGGAAGACTATTAGCTTTATGTTGAGGAAATTGCAGGGGATCACTTGTTTTGCGCTGTTCTTTTAGACTTTTTAGACCACTAGACTTTGAGTGTGAGCAATTTCTAGAATTGTGACTAGTGTCAGATAACAACATACCCGGTGTAGTCCCACAAGTGAGGTGTGGGTAGGGTAAGATGTACATAGACTTTATTCCTACCTTTGCGATGTAGAGAGTATCTTCCTGATAAACCCTTGGCTCAAAAGAGAAGATATTCAAAGCAGGGTTACGAGTAAATTATGGGAACAAAATATCAAGATACAAACCAAATGAAGCAATATAATACTAAACGACATTGAAGCATAGGAACTACACGATTACTAAATGTTATTACCACTAATAAAAGGCTGCAAGTAGGTTATAGGTTATAGGGAGACATAGAATCTTTTATTGATGTTCTAGGATTTCTATAAGTAGGTTATAACTTAGTACATTTTCCTATATTTCCTTGTAAATATGGACAGCTGTAGTTTTTATGCAGCAAATAGTTATACAGAAAATGTTACCTTCTAAAAAGAAAAGGGTTGCAAGGAGATGGGGCTAGCCCCCAGCTTCTCTCCTCTAAGGAGCGACAAATCTGTGCTATCTGCTAAAAAAAAAAGCTTCCCTTTAAATGGGATAGGCAAAATTATTTTTGTGCGCCATCCAGAGTGGATTGTAGACTCTACTAGCTCTAAATCTTCAATGATATATGAAAGTTCTTTTACTTCTCTGAATATTCTCTTGCTGTTACTTCTTTTCATTGTATGTCTAGTGACATTAAAATCTCCATAAAATACTGAGGATTCACCAGATTCCCCCTTCCCCTAACAACAGCCACCTCACCACAGATGGACTCAAAACTGTGGTTTCTTTCTTCATCCTAGAGTTTACTTACAATCAACTTAAAACTGTGGTTTCTTTCTTCATCCTAGAGTTTACTTACAATTAAAATCTTTCAACCTACTTGTTTGAGATTTTGAGGATCCTTATTGGTATAGCTGGAAGAGGAGGAAATAATGGTGGGTATGCAATTAGAAACATTGAGTATTTGAGAAAATGTGCTGAAGTTGTTTGTAGAATTGAACTTCGGATGGTCAGATATTAGAGACAAAGTGTACCTTCTCTCTTATCTTACACTATGCATCTCCAAATGTCCAAAATTTCCAGCGACAATCTAGTTGGACATAGTAATGCGTTGAATCACAAATGAAACTTTGAGCAACTAGTTGGACAAAGTAATGTGAATACAAATGAGTTATCATGTTCTTATTAAATTGTTTTCTTTTGCAGGCAGAATTATTCCCGTTTCATAGATAAATTTTTAATTGTTTCATAATGAAGTAAGGTTGTGGGTTCAAGTCACCAAGGGAGAAACTTACCATATTAAAAAAAGTTATGTGCAGCATATGAAGTAATAATATATAAAATAGGCAGTCTGGCTAGTGGCTTCCAGGGAATTCAAGAGTCTAGAGTTAATTTATTCTACAACTCTGGTTGTTCTTTGGTCCTTCATGAGGTTTTACCATAGCCAAACATTTTATCTATTGTAGGTGCAATTTTCAATTACCAAATACTCTTCACTTCAAGAGCTTCAATTTTGTACAGTTTTTACCATCCATGACACACTATAATCTGTAAAGCCTTATAACCGTGGCCAAATAAAGTCATTTCCTTGAATCAAAATCTACAAAGCTCTTGACCATCAATCGAGTATTGCAATATAACAGAATTGCGGTTAGGGGTAGAATTTTCTTGAAAGATCAATTTCCCTTCTTTGGTTACAACTTTCTGCAATTCAGCTACTAAGATGTCTAGAGTCAGCTTCTAAGTTGCTACTCGTCTCCCTGCTAAACCAAAAGTAAATAAACCCGTCACTCTCTTGCCTCAGTATTCTTGTACCTCTTGTTTATCCTTGTCTCCTTTGCTGCTGTCTATCAGTTCAACCATTTGTTGGCAAGATGGATACTTGCCTAAGTTTCTCTGTGCCATTTTTCCTACTCTGTCTCGGTAATTTGAAGGATATTGAAGGATGAAAAAGTCCCACATTGGTTGAGGAATGGACTGGTAGTTTGCTTATATAGACTTGGGCAATCCTCCCTCATGAGCTAACTTTTGGGGTGTGAGTTAAGCCTAATAGCTAAATTTACATGATAACAGAGCAGGACCCATTTCGCCCAATGTTGGGCCTCCAAATTAAGTATGCCCACACACTAGATATCCAGCCTTTGGCGTGAGGTGAAGTGAGGTGTTAAAGAATGAAAAAGTCTCACATCAGTGGTTAATGAGATGGCAGGTCTCCTTGTAAGGCTTGGAAAATCCTCCTTCCTTTGAGCTAGATTTTGGGGTGTGAGTTAGGTCCAATACCTTATTTTACAAAGGAAAAATGCGAAGGTTGGATGTCGTTTTGCTAGCCGTTCCCTTTTACATTTTATTACTTCATAAACCTTGATTAGCACAATCTATTAAATTTGATGCTGAGATAATCCAATCAGATTTGGGTTTAAGCTCATGGATTTGTTGTTTAGTATGTTAGGAAGCACTGTATTTCCTTCATATAGATATACAGTGTTGTCTGCTTCATGAATTTGGGCTACTACACTTAGTATATTGTGTTGGTCCTTGAATTGTTTCAATCTTACCTTGGTTCTTTGTGTCAATTATTTATGGTTTACTGCAGGATACAACAACTACTTTGTTGACTGCTGCACTTGCTTCAAGGAAAGATCTTGTATCTGGAGCTTCTTCTGTAACAGCTGAAGTAGGGAGTTCTTCAAGTGCTCAAGTTTCACCAGCTCAGGCGATTACACATATTCAATCTCCATTGGCTACACTGTCTAAAAACTCTCAGATAGTAGAGGGAGAGGATCCTGGACATGCTGCTATGGTAAATTTCATATACTCACGTTCAGACCTCTGTTCATTTATTGTCCAGCGTAATAGTCAAATTTAACTACTTTGCAGGACATAGATTCCTCGCTGATTGACATGGATTCTCATGGATCAGCAGATGCCTTTGAATCTAGAATTGGTGACTTCAATGAGTCTACCACTGTGATCACAACAGCAGAAAAACCACTTGATCTTGTAGAAGTAGATTCAAACAAGGGTAAAGATGAATGTTCAATGTCAAAAGAGAATCCTGGTTTGCGTGATCAACATTTGGACCCTAGTGATGAAGCTCCTAGAGAGATTGCAAATAAAGCAGGGAAAGACCCCGAGATAAATATAGTTGAAGATGCAGCTGCTGAGTCAGATGATTCGTCAAATATATTTCATGATGTTTGTTTAAACATTAGATTGCCTGATGGTTCAAGTTTACAAGTGAAGTTTCTCGTTGTAGATACTTTAAGGATGGTCAAGCACTATGTTGATAAAAACCAAACAAGCAGCATTGGTTATTATGATCTAGCAGTTCCTTATCCTCGCAAGGTTTTTGGTGATGAAGGTAACAGAGTATTATATATGTACATATATATTCTTTTTTGATCAAGTAAAAGTATTTTCATTCATAAACGTTACCAAAACAGCCGTATTCAATATGCCAAAAGATCAAAACTCTACAAAATATAGTACTTCGCAAATCTACCCAATCATTTTTACAACAAGGAACTTTCTGCTTACACCATAAGAAAATAAGGGAGTGGAGGCTACTCAACTGCAAGAAACTCAACTCGTGACCTACAAAAGTTCGCATATTTCTCTCTCCGAACTACCCACAGTAACCAATCGGAACCATGTTCCAGGCCCTTTGTCTTCTCCTCTTTCTCCTGCTCTTCCAACCGAGCATCAAATCTTTCACAGTTGTTGGTATTAACCAAGGAGTGTGAAACCATCTAAACACATTTCACCATATTGTCTTTCTTATTACGATCCTTATCCTTTTTGTCATTGTTTTGGGTGGCAATACATCCTCCATAGCTACCTCAAGTCAAGTGCGAGTAGGCAACTTGACAGTCTGAGTTGCTGACAGCTTGGTACATCAACGTTCCACTTTTATATGTGATAGAGACTTTTTCCTTTGGTTGACACACATTTTTAAGGATTTCTAAATGTTGGTTTGAAGCTGTCAGGAAATGCATCAGAAGATGTGGTTTTGTCCGAATAGTTTGATGTTGGCTACAAATAGTGTCATTTGCCGCCTGTAATTGCTTTAGCACATATGGGATGATTTCTATTCAATAGTCTGAGTTCATCTTGTTATAGCCTGTCTCAACTAGTCTGGAATCAAGTCTTGATTGAGTTTGAAACATAGAGGAATAATAGATGTTTTAACACTAGGAAGGAAAACATACTTAATATTAAATCTAGGTGTTTGAAAAGTCTATATTTATGGTGTAGGAAGAATATTGCATTTAGGGGTGGTAATTGGGCGGGTTGAGTCAAATTTGAGTGGGTCATAATGGGTTAAGACAACAATCGGGTGAAGACCCAACCCAACCCAAATCAAATTTGCTTGGGTCAAAATGGGTTATGTATTGGGTTATTTAACGGGTCAAGACCGGACCCAACTCAATTTTTACTGAAGGTTATTGTTTTATATGTTCTTTTAAACTATTTTAGTAATTAATAATTCTTTTTTCTTTATTATGACTATATATAACATATCAAATTGAAAAAAAAGTTCTTTATAAATATCATGACAAGATCTAACATGAGCATTAGTGTAGTCAAAGGCGCGCTTAAGCCTTGAAACGAGGCTCAAAACGTGTTGAGTGCTTTGCCTCGCTTTATGTGAGCTCTTCATCAAGGTTTATAGGCAAAATTTTCCTTGCCAATGAGCCTCTTTAAAGTGACACTAAATATTTGATATTTCATTTTATCATAGAAACTTCCAATTTTTTTGGTCATATATTTGTCATTCATGTTTATAATTATTTTCTTGGACTAAACATAGATATTTGTAATTTTTTTCTCTTTGCGCCTTTTTTCATTAAAGTTCATGCTTTATTTGCGCTTTAAAGCCCCACAAACCTTAGAGCTCTTTTGTGCCTTTTGCCTTTGATAACACTGGAGCCAATTCAGGTTACATATCAACGTAAGTTTTCATGAGTTGAGCTAATGAATGGGCAAACTTAAGCGGGTTGGGCAGGTTGGACGGGTTGGGTTTGATTTTGTCAGCCTTAATTGCATCGCATATGAACTCTTATATTAGATCTTTTGCATTCCTTCAATATTTAGAAGGAAATATTCAGTTTGTACTCTTTCTTGTACCTTCTTGGTACTCTTTAATGAAATCTATTACCTTTTTCATTAAAAAAGTATATATCAGTAACAACTAGTTTGAACTGATAAATTCCACATGCTTGCTTAGGATCTTCTCTAGAACCTTCATATGGTTTTTGTCAATTCCAGCATATGATCCATTAACCGCTATCAAACGTAGTTCCTTTTTGTTGCTTGCTGCTATTAATGACATTTACTTGTTACCTCATACTTTAGAGATCAATTAAATTACTATTATACCTTATAAATGCTTTTTTCCCTTGAAACGTGTCAACAGATCTAGATAGAACATTGTCAGATTTGGGTTTACACAATAGGCAAGCACTGATAATCGTTCTTCGTAACAAAGTGGATGTTACATCATTGCATGGTCTAAACAATCCGGCTGAGAGTAACCATACAACAATTGGAGGCGATGCAGGATATTTTGCTACGATCAGAAAACTCTTTTCGTATGTAAATCCTTTATCTTACCTTGGTGGAAGTTCTAACACATCAAACACTGCTCGAGATAGCATATGGCAATATGGTAGTTTCCTTTCCTTTCTTCTTGACCTCTGTGACAGCTTTACTGCTAGAGAATTAGAAATTAAGGATACGTTCAACAGATTGTATTACTTGCACTTTCTAAGATCAGCTTTCGAGTTGCTTGAATTTTTTTATAAGACTTGCATTAACAGGCACTTTACACCATCATGTTTTTGCTAATACAACAGCGTCGTTTCCAAACATGTAGGGGTTGGCTATATGAAGCATTGCTGGCTATTTTTCTCCATTTTGAATTCATCTAAGGACAAACTTATGCAAAGTGAATTGAAAGCACTAGAAGTTCTTTTCATTTTCTCTAGCGTTATTTGAAGACACCTTTTCCCTGATTTAGTGCCTGACTTTGGACTGTCAGTGTAATTGCTTCTCCATGTGCTAATATCGTACTTCACACTAGCTTTTACAGATTAAATAAAGCAATGAGTTTGTAACTGAGCTTTTCAAGATCCATTATCAGGTGTATGGAACTGAGTGTTGTTAAAAATGTTCTATTTATAAATGGATGAGATAAGGGCATAACTCATTGACAGTGAGGTTCAGAAAGTGCTTTATCTTATTATCTTTTTTGAACCCCTTGTAAATTTTGGGTTGGTCATGCTGATATATACATGTGTCATGTTAATTTGTTTTTGGTACTGTGTTGTCAATTTATTGCCTCTGACATGTAGGTCCAAACTCATCCACACCTCAAAATAATCAGAGCCTGGTAAGTAAAACTTCCACAACTAATAACAGAGGTAGAAAGCGAGCGTCATCTAGCTTTGGGAGCAACATCCACACCCTGAAACATGATGAAGATGAAAATCAGTCTGGTGACAAAAACACATTCTGGAATGGTAATTCTACTCAGTTTGGTGGAGATGAATAAGACTTTGATGTGTGTATAAATATTCTTCCCGTTAGTCATTGTAATAAGTTTTGGATTGAAGCCTGTTCCTTTACAAAAAATGATTGGCTTAAGCATAAACTGAGGAGATGCATTTTATGGTTAGAGAATATGGATGATGTTTTGAGCACAAATAGGTCTTGTATTTGTTATTCTAACAGAAATTTTGCTCCAAGTCCATCTATTATTGATAGAGTAATGTTCTAATTTTAGCCTAGATTCAGTATTCCAAAGTGCAAACATCTAACTAGTTGTGTATTTTTTAAGTCTACAATCAGCTAACGTCTTTCGCTATGTGCTCTGCTTTGCTTAGTATGGGCTCCTTCGCTTTGAATTTTTTTACATTACTCTCGTGTAATAAATTTATCAACAAGATTTAGCTATGTGTATTTGTCTGACAATAACTAAATGTTTGTCATCTATAAAATTTCTGATTGTTTATTTAACCAACTCTATACAGTAACAATAACAATAATTGATGAATTCATGACTTGAGAGAAAATAATAAGATTAGTTGCCCAGAAATTATGAATCTCTACTTTAGCTTTGCATATTTTGGTAATTATTTTAGAAGATAGCTTATTGGATAAGATGCCATAATAATATAAATTGTTATAACTTTATATATACATTCAATAGTTGTTCAAAAAAATATAGAGTAGAGGTTTGGTGTTTGAATTCAAAATCGAATTTTAAATTGAGCTCTCTACTCGAATTTAGATCAAGTGTCAAAATTACAAGTATAGTCTAAATTTATGATCGGTTAGGGTTAAAATTTGGATGTCGGGTCGAGGGTATTAGGATTCGGAAGAGAGTTTTTGAGGATTGTTTTATATTTTTTTTAAAAAAAGTTGGAGGAAAATATATTTTACTCCATACGAAGCACAAACCCTATATGATTATTACGTGCCAAATAGTCTTGTGTTTGTATAATATATAACCCCTCGAAAGTCGAAATGGCATAACCCCAAACTCCAAATTACCATCATGGCAGACGATTTCGGTTCTCATGCTTCTTCTGAGTTCTCCAACACCAGAGTCTCTGAAAATTCTAAGAAGCTTAATGTGTGTGCCTCTGAAACTCAAGAATCCAATACCCATGATGAATCCATCAAGAAAAATGATGAAGAGAAGAAAGATGATGGGTCTGTGAGGTGTTCACTCAAGATTGAAGTAATTGATGATACAGCAATGATTGATATTTCTCAAGTTGGAAAAAGTTGCTCAATTGATAAAAATTTTGATGGAAAATCTGGAAGAAATAGGAAGAAAAAGAATGCAAATCAAATGGTTACGGTTAAAGCAAAAGATAGGAAAATCGAAGAAAAGAATGTGAATGGCGGCTGTAAAATAAATGGAGGAGAAGAGAAGAGGGTTTACTGTAGAAAGGAGTTGGAAAATTTGAGGTTTGTTGGAATGGAACAACAGAGGAAAATGTGGGTTGAGCTGTACTGTGGGCTTGGTGATACCGTGCAAAAGGAGTATGATGGCCTCGTTGACTCTAATACGCAAAAGCACATCCGCCTGTCTCGAAGTCGCAGGCACATTGGTAAAGAAAATACCCCCGTCATTTCTGGTGCGTATTTTTGTCTTCCTTGTTGAATAGTGGTGGCGACCAATGCTGTTTTTTGTTCTTGATAGTATAATTTGCAGTGTTTCTGAAACTGACAGTAAAGATAACAATAATGGAGAAAAACAACTTATAAGGAAACAGTAGCAACCACAAAATAATGTGATACCCTAAACACAATCAACAAGAAGTGATGGTGGAATTAAAAGCAATACACTATAAGAATATGGCTTACCCCTCGAAAATTAAGTCAACAATCCATACCTACTAACCTTCTACCCTAATACCAACCTTCAGGCAAGTGCAAGTTTAGATGCAACTTTGGTGATATTGTGGATAATATACTCTTGACATCATATAATTACTCTATTTCTTGCCTTCATGCATTGTTTGCTTCCCTACACATTCTGTTGTGGTTGTTTCAATTTGATGGGTTCCTAAATTTCTGTTGGCACAGGTGTTTTGGCAGCAAAAGAACGAGGAAAACATATGAAAGTTTATACACAAAGAGGCATGACATATATGAATCTGCAGAACACTTTATGTTTACCTGGCCATTAGGTCTTTAGTATTGTCCCCAGTTCGTGATAAAGGGTTGAAGGAGGAAGCATTTCTAATCATTGTCCAATACCTCTGCTGTACAGAAATGTTTTGGGATGAGCATTGATTTCTTATTTGCTCATTTCTCACCACAGTGATGAATCTGATTGTAGATAGTTAGCTCTTGTAAATGGATCACTGATACAGTGGCTAGATAGAGTGATGCTATGTTTACGTGTATCGTTCATGTAAGTAGAATGTAGTACACTGGAAAATAGACTACTGATGTAGATGTATGGTCTACTTTCATTGTAAAGTGACTGAATTGATGAATTTCATTTGCATTTGAAATGAATAAATCTCTCAACTTGAAATTTCCTTGAGAATGATATGTTAGTTAATTTTGTGTTTTTTCTCAAACCTCTGTACTTAGAAGTAGTCGAGTGTATGTGAGTAATCATTCATGCCTTTCAGGTAACGACCATTCAGAGCTCTTGGATGATCAAGAAGGGAATGTAGACTCTAAAAATTCTCTTTCGGCATTTCCTCCCAGTAGAGATGATGGCATCTCTTGTGAGGGTGAAAACAATGTTTATGAAGAAAGTGATGATGATTATAGTAGCATTCAAAGACCCGCCTTTAAAGTTACAGGAGAGCCTGATTTTGATTCTGGTCCTCCTGAAGATGGGCTTGAGTATCTTAGGCGTGTCAGGTACCATTTTTCTATCTGTGTCTAAAAGGGTTGCTCTTAGCCTATGATCGGATAATATTATGAATGTTGCAAAAACAAAATGAAGGCTTTTTAGTCCATCTGGATGATAAGTTTTGTCTGAAGCCTCTTATAACAACAGAACATATACCCTGTGTAATCCCACAAGTAGGGGCTTGAGAAGATAGAGTGTAAACAAACCTTACTTTCTTACCTTGGGAGGTAGATACTCAAGCCTCTACCTTTTCATAAAAAATGTAAATTGTAGCTTATTATAACATTAAATAACCAAAGCACTTCCAAACCATTATAGGAATGCCGTTTAGACTACATGCTCTTCTAATGTTCATGTTCTTTTAATGGCATCCCAAATATTTGACAGCCTGATTCTACTAGTGTGGCTAAAGGCAGATATGTATGGAGATTGATAAAAATAGCCTATCAATTTCTCTTTGATCTCATTATCTCCTATCAACATTAGTTGAGCATTGCCTAATATGCTTCACCTGGTTTAAATCCTTACTCCTTATCTCTCTCCGTCCTACTTTTTAACCATTTCTTTCTTCCTCCCGTGTCATTAGTTTTTGGTACAAACTACTAAGGGCTTCTTCCAAGCTATTAGTTAGGCCATATATGGCTTCTGCTTTTGTTAACTAATAGCACTATCTCTTAGCTCTAATTAAATAAAAATATAAGTTATATTGGGTTTCGATTTGATTGTCATAGTAAATAGATGAGACAACATTTATTAGTTTGCCTTGGTAATGAAATAAGTTATATAAAGAGATGAATTAATAAAAACTGATTTGAGTTGGGTGGGTGTGGTTATGATCTATGTTTTGCTCGGACTCTTCAAAATGTCAATGGGTGTGTCGGATTCGCCAAATGTAGTGTATTTTGGAGAATCTGACACGGGTGCAGCATCAAAAGTGAAGAGTCCACGCAACTAAGGTTATGATCTCCTATTTAGCTTAAATTGACCCTAAGTTGCTCAGACTTGGGTCGACCTTGCCATATAAAGCATAGTCTGTCGACTACATTCACAGGAACTGGAAAAAGGGACACCATGTAAGTAGGTACTAGGTAGAGCATCTAGAACAATATTAACAGAGTGACCCCTCCCACCTAAAGACAAAGATTGGCTTCTCCAATTTGCCAACTTCTTTTCATTTTCCACTTCATTCCAAATACATTTTTTTGCCCCAAGAGGCATATACCCAAATAAATAGTTGGTAACTCCTATTTTGCCACCAAGAATATTCACCCTATCTTGGAGATTGATCAGTTCATATACTGGGTACAATAAGCATTTTTCCGGTCTATGTGCAACTCTGATATGACTTAAAAGAGGATGAAGCCATTTCAGTTTTAGAGAACAAGCCCATAGGAAACCCAAAAAGATGATTTCAATTGTGAACATGTCTTCTTCTGGTGACTAGTAAGCTCCCTACATGACTTGGCTCATCTGGTAGCACCAACAGTTTGAATTGACCCCTTTCTATCCATCTTAATTGCTTATGGTTAGATACTCTTAACTCAAGGGGGATATATCCACTGAGAATATAAGGTGCCTTGCTCCTCGGTGGAATTACTTTTGGAAGTAAACTCATACTTTTCTGAAATCAATGACTCCCCTCCCTAGATGGGATCACTGAGAATATAAGGTGCCTTATTCTTTTTTTTATCAAGTCAATATATTTTCGTTATTGACATGAATCCCAAACGCAAGTGGAATACCAAAAAACTTAGAGAACCTACAAAAAGGCATGAATCTTTACAATTAACATCCGGTCTTCTATACAACAAGGAAATATTTCTTCTAATTCTAAATTATTATCTTTTTTAGATTTGCTAATACCACAAGGCATAATCACTTGAAGCCTCTGCAGCAACTTGTCAATCGTAAAAGAGAAGAAGAAGAGAACTTTATTGATACTGATGACAAAAATGAAACAAGTAAAAAATAGGAAGGTTTTCCTAATCCCTGGGTAACCAACTTACCACCCTGAACTATGTACAAACATCTGGTAGAATGATTACACTTATTCTCTGCTGCCATAATCTACAACTATGTCACTTATCACATCCCATTGAAGCTTCATGAGATAACTGGCATAACCACAACGCTCTCCTACTAACACAGTCATACAACGAGTGGAGTTTTTCGTTCTTTCAACCCAATTATACCATGCTTCATTGCATAAATGTTCTCCAAATGTCACAAGACTTGTTGCAGGGAATGGAATAAATTCTTCTTTCCATCATTGATAGCTCATTTGTAGCCGATTATCTTAAGTAAATGATTGGAGAAAAACAAAGAAACAGTAATCTGAGAAAACTGTCCTACCTGAACCTTCACTAACTTTCTACCGAATTTTAAAAATAAAGAAAAAGTAAA